TTTTTTAAGAGATGGAGTCTCACTCTGTCACCCAGGCTGGAGTACACTGGGCATGATCTCGGCTCACTGCAACCTCCTCATCTCAGGTTTACGTGATTCTCCTGCCTCTCAAGTAGCTGGGACTATGGGTGTGTGTCACCACACCCAGCTAATTTTTCTATTTTTTACTAGAGATGAGGTTTCACTATATGCTGGCCAGTTGGTCTCAAACTTCTGACCACAGGGATCTGCTCACCTTGGGCTCCCAAAGTGCTGGGATTAACAGGCAAGAGCCACTGTGCCTGGCCAAGAAACACATTTTAAATATAAAGACACAGATGATTAAAAGTAAAGTAATAGAAAATGGCATACCATGTTAACACTCATCAAATAAAGCCTAGCAAAACTTTATTAATTTCAAAAAAAGTGGACTTCTGAGCAAGGAACACTTACAAACATAATGTAGGGTATTCCACAATGATAAGGGTTTGATTCCCCCCTCTCTCTCTCTTTTTTTTTTTTTTTTTTTTTTTTTTTTTTTTTTTTTTTTTTTTTTTTTTGAGTCAGTGTCTTGCTCTGTCACTAGGCTGGAGTGCAATGCAGTGGTGCAGTCTTGGCTCACTGCAACCTCTGCCTCCCAGATTCAAACAATTCTCCTGCCTCAGCCTCCTGAGTAGCTGGGATTACAGGCATGTGCCACCATACCTGGCTAGTCTGCATTTTTAGTAGAGACAAGGTTTCATCATGTTGGCCAGGCTGGTCTGGAACTCCTAACCTCAAGTGATCCACCCATCTCAGCCTCTGAAAGTGCTGAAATTACAGGCACGAGCCAACCTGGCCAAAGGGTTAATTCTCTAAGAGGACATCGAGAATCTATGTGTAATCTTTAGCATGCATGTGTATAACAAAAGAACTGCAAAATATACAATGCAAAATCCGATAGGACTACAAGGAGAAACACATGAATCCATGACTACGGCTGAGATTCCAATACCCTTCTATCAGTAATTAAGAGATCCAGTAGGCAGAAAAAACAGGAAGGATAAGCCGAGAGCAGTGGCTCACTCCTGTAATCCCAGAACTCTGGGAGGCTGAGGTAGGGGGATCGCTTGAAGCCAGGAGTTTGAGACTAGCATGGCCAACATGGTGAAGCCCTGTCTCTATTTAAATTACAAAATTTAGCCAGGTGTGGTGGCACATGCCTGTAATCCCAGCTACTTGGGAAGCTGATGCAGAATCGCTTGAACCCAGGAGGCAGAGGTTGCAGTGAGCGCAGATGGCAGCACTGCACTCCAGCCTGGGCGACACAGTGAGACTCTGTCTCAAAAAAAAAAAAAAGAACGGCCAGGCGCGGTGGCTCAAGCCTGTAATCCCAGCACTTTGGGAGGCCGAGGCGGGTGGATCACGAGGTCAAGAGATCGAGACTATCCTGGTCAACATGGTGAAACCCCATCTCTATTAAAAAAAAAAAATACAAAAAATTAGCTGGGCATGGTGGTGCGTGCCTGTAATCCCAGCTACTCAGGAAGCTGAGGCAGGAGAATTGCCTGAACCCAGGAGGCGGAGGTTGCGGTGAGCCGAGATCGCGCCATTGCACTCCAGCCTGGGTAACATGAGTGAAACTCCGTCTCAAAAAAAAAAAAAGAAAAAACAGGAAGGACATAGGTGAATTGAATAGCACCAAATAATAGATTTCACTGAAATCCATGGAATACTTCATCCAACTACAGCAGTATACACATAATTCTCAAGTTCACAAAGAACAGTCACCAAGGTAAGATACACTACATTGTGGGACATAAAACACATCTTATCCAGAAGGTCATAGATTAAAAAAAAAAACAACACCTTAACAAACTTGAAAGAAAAATTACATAAAATATGCTCTCAGACTAGAATGACATTAATGTAAAAATCAGTAACTAAAAAAACAGTTGAAAAACCTCAAAATACTTGCAGATTAAAGCACACACTTCTGAACGACCCACGGATGAAAGTAGTTTCAAGGGCAATTAAAAACTATTTTCTTTTTACAAAATATTTCCTTTTGTAATTAAAAAAGCAGCCCTCAAAATCTCATAAAACTATTTTATCTAAATGAATGAATGGCTGGGCATAGTGGCTCATGCCTGTAATCCCAGCACTTTGGGAGGCCAAGGTGGGCAGACTGCCTGAGGTCAGGAGTATGAGACCAGTCTGGCCAACATGGTGAAACCCTGTTTCTACTAAAAATACAAAAAGATTAGCCAAGTATGGTGGCATGTGCCTGTAATCTCAGCTACTTGGGAGGCTGAGGCAGGGGAATTGCTTGAACCAGGGAGGTGGAGGTTGCAGTGAGCCGAGATTGTGCCACTGCACTCCAGCCTAGGCGACAGAGCAAGACTCCATCTCAAAAATAAATAAATAATAAATGAATGCAAATACAGCTTATTAAAAACTTTGTATGGACTGGGCGCGGTGGCCATGCCTGTAATCCCAGCACTTTGGGAGGCTGAGGTAGGTGAATCACTTGAGGTCAGGAGTTTGAGACCAGACTGGGCAACATGGCAAAACCCCACCTCTACTAAAAAAAAACAAAAAATTAGGCATGCTGGCACATGCCTGCAATCCTAGCTAGTTGGGAGGCTGAAGCATGAGATTCGCTTGAAACTGTGAGGCAGAGGTTGCAGTGAGCCAAGATCACGCCACTACATTCCAGCCTGGGCAACAGAGTAAGACTCTGTGTGTCACACACACACACACACACACCC